ATTTAATATATAGTACACTCATCATCGCCATGTAACTGTGTAAAAAGTAAATAAAAAACTCGTTTTAAGTCGTATTTTCGCGGTTTAAACGTTGTATTAAATGGTTTTTCGTGGAATGTTTTTCGTTTTTATACGGTAACATAACATTGTATAATGTATTATTACATATTAAATCGTACGCATGGCGCATACAATGTATATATATTAAGTCCTATATTTAAGACTGTTTTAAGACATGTACATAAAGTAACTACTTATTTAAACATAAAAGTGTGTATGAACTGCCATATAATATACGCAAATAACATAACCTTATAGAGTAATAAATAATAATATAATAAATACTGCACAAATAATTTAAACATTGATCGAATTGGCAAAAAAAAAAGTATAGGGAACTCTGTTTACTCCTTTAAAAATAACAACACCTCCATCACTTTTTAATTTTTATACGCTGATTAACATCATAAAATTATTTATAAATAATCAATTTAAAACTCAAATTAAATACATTATATGTATACTTGTATATTATTAAATATTATTAGTGGTACAGATATTGTAATTTATAGAAATACGGTTATGTGAATCATGACTAACGTTTATAAATCAGCCGGCCGGTTGTCAATATAATATATATAATATGTATAGCACGATAATTATAAATAAATAATCTAAAATATAAACTATGATATTTAGCATCTCGAGCATTTAAATAAAAATACAAAAAGATTTTAACGCAAATAATGAGTACCTACGTTAAAATGTCTGAAAAATTACAGTTAAGGCACCTACGCGGGGTACTTTTGCATCCTCGTCTTCATTAAAAACTGAACATAACACTGCAATAATGATTTATAAATACTAAGGGTATTATAAAATTCATTATATTATAGTATGTATTATGTAAAACGTTATGTAATTGTATTTCGTATAAAATTACTACGAAGAAAAAAAAAAAATTAAAAAACAAGAAATACATTTAGATGATATATTATATTATTATTTTATATCATTGAATATAGGTGTACCAAATTACCACATTTTACATGCACGGGTTCGCGCACATCAGAAAAATCATAACGCCACAGCGCGCGACGGCGGCGCGGTGGCAGATCGTAATCGACGCGGATGCGCGCGCGCGTACATAATACATTACAATAATAATACGCGCACCGATATAATAACAATAATCCACCCACGAGTGTACATATATATATATAGTATATACTATAATACGAGGACGCACAGAGTATAATAATATAATATCGTACTGGCGGTGGACCGTATAGGTATATTATATACACGATCATCGACAACCGGCATCAATACACACCGAATATTGCTGTGCATATATATGTACATAGGTATGTATTATATGGTACTATAATACAAGTGCAGGTATTATAATACTTGTACATAATAATATGTATATTTATAGGTATATATAGAGGTGTACATACTACATATATATGTACAGATATAACGTTGTCTCTGCGCATAGGAATGCTGGAGTATTAAATGCGCACACACACACACACACACACATATAAACACGAGTGAGCGTTATAAGCGAGTCCGCCGAAGTACTAGCTGGGGTAACGGAACGGTAATAACGCAATATTTCCGACTTTGGGTACCGCCCCATCAGCGGCTAATACCCGTGGTATTACATAGTGTGAGTGTATGTGTGTATGTGTGTGTGTGTGTGTGTGTGTGTGTATGAGACGTACCTATCTACCTCCCCTGCTCTTTCTCCGCAATGTACAATATGCGAGAGTTTCTACTCTCCGCGTACGCATCGAAATTGACTGTGGAAATGTTTAAGGACCGGTTTTTTGATTTTTTTATAACTTATTATTATGATTATTTTTCATTATTTTTATTTTGGAATTTTATAAGGTTACAAAATCGACACCGCTTCCAATACGTCAAAAAATGTTATGTTTTATGTTATATTTATAGATATTTACTTTCGTAAAATAATTCCCGCCACACGACGATGTATCAATATTATATGGAATGAATTCAAAAGCATAACTTTGAAATTAAGGCAAATACATTTATTTTAAATACATTTTATTTAAAATTAAATACATCCTAGCTCAACTCTAAATCGGTAATACAATTGGTATACAAATTATTTCGAAATATGATTCTTTAAAAATGCTTTAAAATATAAAAGATTGTTTTAATATCAAAGTGTTCAAACAATGTTTATTGCTTTTATTGTACGTTTTTAATAGTTGGTAAATTATCTATATATTATTATTGCAGATGAACACTCTCGGTAAATAAAAACAGTATTTGCTTGGATATCCAAACTGTCACGTATTAATATGTTTCATTACAATAATATTATGTTAACTAGATAAATATATATCATGTCTGCGATCGATATCTGACCAATATTACGCGCGTGTAATGCTTCACCGCGCGCTACAGAATCTCTTTGAAAACACCTATATTGTAAGCCACGATACTCGCATGTTTTTAAATGTTATCCGGTAACAACATGTGTCGAAGTATACACATATTACAGAGATTGAACTGTAGAACTATGGTTGATAAAGTATGGTAGTAATATAAAGTACCGATAACTGCGTTGTAGTATAAGTATATAACCGTTTAGTATTTCTATGTGTATGTTTGTGTAATGTGTATATATTATTTTCTCATTGTGAATACGACCGTTTTTATTTTTTCTATCATTTGGCACCATCTTCGCTATTCTGCAGATAACCCATCCCTCTTGGCCACACTGCTCAACCATGAAACGCATACGCACAGGAATTTTTACGTGTAAGTACGTATACTACTTGTAACCAGTATGTAAACAGTATATCTTCTTTCTCAAATCGCACGTCTCACACCGATTTATATATATAATGTATCGTCATAATCGTGTTGATTCTGCAACGTCCAAATAATATTGTCATGAGCATATTATTATCATCATCGTCATCATCCATGTCTGTCCGGACTGAACGAAAACAGACAATTAGTTTAATGGCAAATCTTGCAGTTTTATATTAAATGTATAAAGTATACATAATACATATTATGTACCCAAGTTTAACTTAACAGCGTTGCAATACACTCAATTATATACCATGTAATAATATGTATAATAAATACGTTTATATATACGTATATGTAATCCAATGATATTTTTTCATCCGTTTTGGCCTTTGGGACGTTTTGTCTGATCGTTTAATCAGTGAAAATAGCATTTCGTCCATTTATGTTAACGAGTATAGCATATAGTATAATAATAATATAAGACATGTCGTTTTTAAACTTCGATAGCTTTGGTGCGGAAAAACCTGTGACGAATCGTGTTGTATCCCCTATAGTGTGACCATTGTAACCTATGTATACGGATATACGATACTATGAAAACGTGCGGCAGCAGATCGGAAGAATTGTTTAATTATTGTCTCGGACTCTCGACGAGAAAACAGCGAAAACGGCACCTCCGGTGGAAATAAAATCGTTAAGTTGTCCCTATGCGACGTCCGTTCATCCATTGTATGTAAATAGTCCGGGACGGGCATAGTGCACGCGAAAAAAAAAATTGAAAAATAATTCACCTTCATTGTGTTTCGGATGAACGGGTCGCGGATGCTAGAGGCGGTTGCGGTAGGAGGCGGGGGGATGAAGTTTTTATTATGTATTTATATATAAGTAAGATCGCAGATAACGAACAATATGTTATTGTGTATATTTTATTCTTCATTTTTTTCCTCTCTTTATTATTTTGTAGCGTCCGAGTATAAGTACATGCCACACTGTATAATGTAATATAATATACATATAGCATATTGTATACATATATGTGTGTTGTTTTAGAAAAGAAGACGCCTCGAGCTCAGGGGCTATATGCAGTGTGTGTACGGGGTATATTATAATAGTATAATAGCTCCAGGTTGAATTTGCATAATATTATATAATAAACTGCGATGAGGTCTATCTAATCTTTAGTAGCACCACCCCCTAGTCATCAACGCAATCTTGACATGATGGAGCTCCAAAACTCTACTAAAATGTACGATTCGTAGAATGCGTGTATTACATGTATGAAGTCAGTTTTGTTTTAACTCTGATCAAATCATTTGAATTTTTAACTGCTATTGGTACTGTTATTACAGAGTAAAATTTGTATCTGGGTTGTTATATTATAATATGCCATACAATTCTAATGATTATCTTGTCAGCTAATATTGTTTAATTCATTCTAACGGGTGGCGTACATGTCTTCGAATAACAAGTGTAAGAAAAATTGTTTATTCGAATAGATATATGTTCGAAAAGTTGTATGAACGAAATTATATATTAAATATCATGAATTGTATCATGAGAGCACATGAGTTGGGACTAGCCTATTTGCGTTACCCAGGAGACACCACGTGGATGTTGGCTTGAATATTTCCCAAAAATTGTGTTTTTTGTTAAGTTAAAGTATATATTAGAATATTAGATTCATTTAAAAAAATAAAATATTATTGGTGTACCAGCTAAGGTTGCACGGGTAATTGTTCAACGTCTAATCTGGTGACTCCAATATAGTTGAATATCGTATTACCATGATCATTGACCCTTACCATGCGAAGAAGAGTAATTGAACTTCAGCTAATCTTTCGATTTTTGATATAGGCAATATAGGCGAATATCATTGCACCGTGGAGGGTCGTTGATAAATTTTTTTTTTTTATTAATTTTCAAAATATTAAATAGCTATTTTTTTATTAAAATAAATAATTTTTGAACATATAATTTTTCGATTACATTACTATTCGAACAAATAACTTTTCTTACTTTTGTTGCCACTTTCATAGATATACGGGGTGCGTTTGACTCTGTTAATATACATATTCTTGTTGATTATATTATCTCTTTAAATGCCCCTCCGGAATTCGGCAATATATTACTCTCCCTTTTCAATAAAAGGAATCTCGTTTTCTCTTCTTCATTTGGTTCTTTTAGTTCTCGTTCTACATTCACAGGTCTCCCACAAGGAAGTTGCCTCAGTCCCCTTCTATTTAATATATACATGAGCCTCGTTGCAAAAAATTTCTCAAGGTCTGGCCACAACTGCCTTATCTACGCGGATGATATGGTCATCTTTTCTTCAAATAAATCTCTACCTCTCGCCATAGAACGTTTAAATGCTGCTCTTCAAGATCTAATAACCATTTTATCTAATGTATCTCTGGAAATCGCTCCTGAGAAATGTAAATCGGTTATTTTTACTCGGCGCAAATATTTTGATCCACATAACATATACCTAGACAATTACCTCATTCCTTTTGCTACAACCGTAACCTATTTAGGCATTACCCTTGATACTAAACTGCGTTGGATACCTCACATATCTTCACTTTCTCTCTTCACATCCCGTTGGTCAAACTTCCTCAGGACTGTATCTAATACTTGGTGGGGATCCCATCCTTCTAGCTTGCTATCCATCTATCGCTCTATCATACGTTCTAAATTGGACTATGGTTGCTTTCTTTTCGGTTCGGCCGCCTACTCCAACTGGAAAAAAATTAATATGCTCCAATCGTCTTGTCTTAGAACTATAATGGGATATGTCAGGTCTACCCCTGGTCCGGCGATGGAAGTTGAAACCTTCTGTCCTCCTTTTAATATTAGATGCCGATGGCTCGCAGGAAAATTCATTTTAAAATCTTTAGCGCATTCCAACCACATTATATTCGATACCTTCTATTCTCTATATATCACTTGGCGTTACACACCCAAGTCAATGCCGGTCCTATCAATTGCTGCAAACTCTCTCTCCAATTTTCACCAATTTGTCTTAAATTCTTATAAACTTCCACTCTATGAGCAACCTTTTGACTCTCTCCTTTATACCCCTTTAGTCCAAATTGACAATTTTTCTAATTTTTCACACGTTGAACTTAAATCTATGTCTTCTTCTTTTGTTAATAAACTTTTTTCCAATTTCCTCAATCTTAATTACCCCAACTTCACTATCATATACACCGATGGTTCAGTGTCTCCTTTATCAGCCGGCTATGCCTTCTATATTCCCGAACTTCATATATCTTTCTCTAACAATCTCCCTCCTTCGTCCTCTTCCTTCACTGCTGAATGTTACGCTATTTTCGAAGCTCTTCTTTTTATTTCTGATTTAGCCCCTAATAGATACTTAATTGCTTCTGATTCCATGTCCTGCTTACAATCTCTTACATCTAATCCATTTAATTCTAAATTATCCCCTCTTGTTTTTCTAATTAAATCATATATATACACTCTCGAGCAGTCCAATCATCATATTCAATTTTTATGGATCCCTAGCCACATCGGCATACATGGGAACGAAACGGCTGACGGGCTCGCCAAAGCTGCATCCTACACTATCCTTCCTCCTCTTGCGCAATTGCCTTGGACCGATTTTTCCCCTTTATTGCGTCGTCATATTATCAGCCTCTGGTCCAATCACTGGAATAACCTGCCTGCTCACTTTGCTTCTAGGTATAAATCAATTGTCCCCAGTATCATTAATAAAAAAACTTGGTTCTACAACTTAGACCTACCAAGGTCTATCATTGTTCGTTTTAACCGACTCCGCGTGGGTCACTCACTTCTTCCAGATCATGCATACAAACTTGGCCTAAATGACTCTCCCCTCTGTACACTACACATAACCGAAAGCATCTGTGACATCTCTCATTTACTATTTGACTGTCCGTCATTGTATTCTAAGCGTACATCCTTGATTAATTATATTAAGTTCTTAAACATTCCTCCCACTCTCCCTTCTATACTCAACACCCAAGTCGAAACAGTTATAAAAAAAATAATACATTTTTTATTGGAAGCTGGCTTTGTAATTTAAGGTGGTATCTACGCACATTATTATTTAATTAGATATTATAATTTGTTACTTCTTTCTTTTAACTACCTTATTTTGTGTTTTACTATATTTTTGTCATAGCTATTACTTGTTCTACTTAATAATTGTTGAGCTATTATAGTTACATACTAAAAGCTAATAAAAATAAAAAAAAAAAAAAAAAAAAACTTTTCTTACACTTTTCATTCGAAAACATGACTTTCGAAGACATGACCCGTTCCGCATTCTAAAAGCACGTAGACTAAATAGAACATCTGTTGATATGATAAATAAAAATCAAATAAAATTTCGATAAATAGTGACAGTTGGTATTTTTATTTAAGACCACCCCAGAATGAGTGCCATCACTCCCATAAGTATTTTAAATATAAAAACAATAAAATTTATTATTATAACTTAAGAAATCATAAAAGTACCTTAAAGTATTAAAATAATTTTAAAATAAAACATTATGACGTGTTCAAAAATTAAATATTAAAAACTTTTAATGGACCATTATCCCAAAAAATATGAATACGAGTATAGTTTACATTTCTGATAATATATTTTAGACCACTAAGGCGCTACCTAAATATATGTTTATGAGATAATGAAACTATACATGACCGTGAATTATAATAGACAAGAAGTTTTTCATGTATAGGTTTGTTAATATACTAATTTAATGTAAAGATGTTAACATTTTACATGACGATATTTAGCTAATTGCTTAAAATAATATGTTTTGTCTCTATAATACTTTACACGTGTCTGTCTACCGGTATTTATATTTTATACAAATTACACAATACTACTGTTGATATTTTTTCTTCTTGTACAGCATCAGTAAAATACGAAACCATAAATTCACAGAACCGATTTAGATGTACACGGCCCTTTTAAGAAAGCAGAGTGGTATTGGCAAACGAGATAAAACAAGTGACCGGTTATGTGTTGGACGATTAGAATATAATGGATTTCACTTAAAAAAAACTCGCTTTAAATACATGACATATTAAAATACAACCAATATGCTTTATGTTTCAAAAAATCATGTTAAAACACCAAATAGTTAACCATAGTCCATGTAGTATTAGATCCTATATTTCCGCAATTAGGCCTATAAAATAAATTTCTTAAGAGTCTGATCTTGGTTTAAAAAAAAAAAACTGAATTATTACGATGCGTCATTTAGAATTGTGTAATTGTACATAAATAAAAATAATCTTGATTTGTTAAGCACTCTGGTAACGTACCTTAATTGATTTAGATTTAAACAAACATTGCATTTGCGAAAAATATACAGAAACATATACCTAGCTAGTTGTTATACCGCCATAATATATAAATACGCGTCTATCGACATAATGATGAAAATATATGCTGCATCGGTAACAGGCTTGAAGCTACAAACATTGCCCATATATTGTTACATGATTTAAAATAGGAAAAATCAAATTATAAAAAGTTGTAGGTACCTATTATATTCAACGAGATGACATTGCCAAAATTGACAGAAAAAGGTTAAAACATACATATACACAATATAATAATAACAACGACACTAACTAATAAGATTCTTCGAATAGCGTATAATAATATATGTACCTATTGCGTATATAATATTATTATTATACAGATCACAATTATTATATTAGGGGAACTGCGAGATGACGACGATGTTTGTTCGCGTCTGAGACGGCATAATTATCTTCTTATTCAATTAGACTGAGGCCGTTTTTCCGTCTCTCGCCACTCGCCCCGGAGCCGCTTCTCTCTCTTTCTCCATACCATTTTTCCCCCGAGGCTTACACGGTCATTAGGCCAGTCATTATTGAATCAAACACGGGCCAAAACCATCATCAATCAACGGCAGACCCGATGAAGACGTATTTTTCTTCCGTTATATTATAGCAATAATGCGCACGCCCGTGTGAATCCGCTTGTCAGGCACACAACCGCTTTTTTAACAATTTTTTATTTTTTTCATTTTTGGTTAAAGCGGCAAACGCTTACAATAATAGTAACGATAATATGAAAAAAATCATTTGTTTAAATACTCTTAAAGCATTGACTGCGATGATTAAGACATGACATCGTTATTATTTCATAGTTATGACTTATGAATAATATAATAATAATAATAATAATAATAATAATAATGATTCAGACTTAGTAATAAAACAGAACTACACGAGAGCATGGCCCTTTTTCGCCAAAAACAACAAAGGTACGATTCCCACTTTCGCCAAAAAAACTATAAAAACCAATGGTTTTAATTTTTAAGCAATATATGTTGTGGTATGTATAATATGCAATTGTATAATATTATTTAAAAACTCTAATTTAATTATGCCTATATTCAATTTATGTAAAATTATCGTCTACTTGTATTATAATTTGAAGTATTGAAGTATTTAAACACAATAGATATATGATATGGCATTGTATAAAATTTAAAAACTCTAAGACAAGCTTAAAAATAATCGTTAAGGTCCTTATTAAGCATTTGATTTGTATACCTGTATAAATATATAATATTAATACACGTTTGAATACAATAAACTTTAATTTTTTCTAAGATAAAAATGAAATTAGTTTTTACAGCAACCCAGAGACTTAAACGTTGCGTGTACGCTGTTCTTTAGTATTATGTTTATTCAGTAGTACTAATAAATATAATCGGTTTTCATTATTAACTATATTATTGTTTTGCATGTACAGAACATGCGTGCAAGCCATAATGTCTGGTAATTTGATATTGACAGATACCTACACGTAAATAGCCGCCTACAGTCTTTTTCTTCGTTATTGCATGCATACCTACTAATATTAAACTTATTATTTATTAGTAACTCTATACTGTTTTTTCGATTTTTCAGGAATTTCTATAAATTGAGAATTATAATTGTGTAAACTTAATAAGGCTCTATTAGGTATCAGTTAAATCTTGAAAGAGTTCACACGAAAAGAATGTGATGGACAACATTGAACATAAATATATATATATATATATATATTTACTATATAATTATTTTGACAAAGCAGTACATTCTATATAATTTTAAATTTTGAATCAATCACTTGTTAAATAGATACAATGAATTAACAATTTCAACAAAACTGTCCGAGAACGATAAAATCCACAGAAATAAACAAAATAGCTAGACTAGTATATAAATTATTAAAATTAAATATTTCAATAGTGTAGTCTTCTCAAATAATACGTAATTATATAAAATATACGTTTAAACTATCGCACTTGAATACTTGATTTAACAAAATAGTGGTAAAATACAAATTAATATTTTATTTACATAATTTTTGTAATTATATGAACAATGTATAATTTACCAATATTATTCCAATCATATAAAGATGACAAAGGTACACGTTTATTGGGTAGAAAAAAATAGTCAAATAACGTAAATAAATTTGGATATGATTACCGTATTTTAAATGTGTGGCGCGTATTCTTTAGTATTGACACACGTATTTCTTATATGTATATAAAAAAATAATATAAAATAAGATACTGTATTTAATATTCCATGTATTTTTTGGCTCGTGTCGATGTTCGCCGAGCATTATAATCACCAAATTTACGGAAAATAAATAAGTATAAAAAACCAACAACCGATTCGAAATGAACAATATCTCACGAATCGTGACTATATAATGGCTATATTATAATATTATAATATACTAGCAGCATACACGTAGTCTCGTGCCGGACACGAGACATAAGAAAAAAATTAATATAAATAAATAGTTATCTATATAAAACGCGCGTTGCCATTATAATATTGTATACAATATAATGTTATCATCGTGCGGATAACAATGACCAAATTAAAATGACATTTAAACCGTTCGTTTTTAGAGTCCTAATACTAATGTGGGTGGAATTATATTGTTTTGGGAATTGGGTTTCTTACATATTTGCGGTGTACCGCAGAGCCGGGAGGGCAGACCGGTTCGGCGCGCGATCAAACGCGCGCGGCAAAACAACAACACCCCGGTAACCATAAAAAATAAAAATAAAAACCGAAATAATAATAATAATAATAACTCGCACACGAATATTATAATATATTACTATAAGAGTAATAATATTATCACGGGAAATAAAAAATACGATTATATTATATGCCTTTACCTGTTTGTATAATATTATATAATTTAGTAGGTAGGTACCTACACATACCAACTACAATATAATAACTATATGGATGAGAATTTAAATGATAAAATATCCGAAAATATAAATTTGCCTACACGCAGCATGCAATAGATACAGGTGCTAATGGGTTGTATGTATAAAAAAAAAATAACATGAGTCTGAGGGCTACTGAATATGTGCCACGACGGGTGAGCTCGCGAGCGCGTGCGCCAGATAGGTAAACTAAGCGTAGGACGCGTGGGAACCACTTGTGGCGATGTATACCAAGGTCGTGTGATGGCGGCGGATTCGGCGGACGGTATCGATTACCACACTCACACACACACACACGCACAAACAAACGCCAACTGTTGGCGAAAATACATTTCTCTGCTAGCCTCGAGGATCCCGGAAAGCAAGTATCGCACGCTCATCTGAAACGCTATTAGCAGTTTACAATAAAAAAAAACCACAGATATTTACCGCTCTTAATATACCTATATTTTATTTTATTTTATTTGAATTACAACCCAAGTCTTTCGCGAGTAGACTATGACTGCGTTATTATAATATAATATTATTTCCTTACGCTGAAGATTTATTATCATATCGCATAACGGATGTTGTTAAACCGCCCGTTTATAAAGTCGTCATTATTATTATTAATATTTAACTATACATATACGCTGTAACATAAAACGGCTTTAATTATTTTACGCTAACGATATTTTAATATACTGACTAAATATGTTTGGGCCATATTATAAAATATAATATATTATCAATTGTCCAGCGGCCAGCTATTATCTTTTATATTTATTATGCATTTGTACAATTTATAAAATTAGTATTTTAAATGAAGCTGACCTTCAATATTTTTAATTCTTATTGATAATCATTTTCTAATTAAGAAGGAAGGGTACAAAGATTTGTTATTTTAGAAACGTTTCTGGATAAAAGAGACATGGATCAGTATACAAATTATTGCGCCCCTTATATTTTACGATCAGTATACTAATCACGTTTTACTTTCGGGTATAAAAAATATGTTCTTGTCTTACACACATAAATAATGTATAATAAAATAATTGAAAATTAAAATCCTAATATTATAATGTATTAATTTAATTGTGTTGATTACTAATTGTTTGGTTAAATATTTTTTAACAAAAAAAAAACGTATTCGTTTTTGTGAGTCGACATATCTGAGTTTTTCTTTGAATCGCAATTTAAAAAAAATTGTTTCGAGGTGCACACAAGATTAACGGTAGAAACTTAACCGAATTTTAAAGCCACGAATCCGATAGACCGTGGATTGCTTACACACACGCGCATACATACATATGCAAACATTTCCTTTTATTGATATAGATCGATTATTTCCGCGATTCATTTTTCACTCGATTTGTTCGACGCGCGTATTTTGTAGGCATAATATATCGATAAACGTGTGTGGATTCAACTTAACTAACACACAAAACCACGCACAATGATGTACCTACCGATTTTTTATATCATAATGTCAACGGAAAAGTCCGGGATATCCCAAGTACCTACGCGTTACTACCGTGTTGATGGAAACTTAAACGGCGGCGGCGGCGGCGACCAAAGAGTCGAAGTAGCCAATATAAGTGTACGTTCAATAATAATAATAATAATAATAATAATAACAACAATATAATATATGTGTGCACGTTAAATTGATGTGTATACACGCGGGACGTCTATAAAGTACGCGCTAGCAGTAGTCCGGCGAATTTTATTGGCGCGCGGCGATCATAAAAATCAATAGTCTCGCGCGACGTCCATACGTTAGTCAGCCGCCGCCGCCGCGCGTATAATAATACGTATAACTACGGCCGTCCGAGGCCCGCGCGCGATCGAGTTGCCTGCGTGCTGTGAGCGTATGGAAATGTGAAGGCTCATTACGGTCTGAAGATTTATTGGCGGTCGGGACGTACCGCGGCCGCCGCGTCAAACCGTTGATTAATTACGACCGGACCATTGTGGCGGCGGTGGTGGCTCTTCTTCCTCTTTTCCACCGCCACCGCCGCATTCCCGGGTCCGACGAGATATCCTTTAAAGTGTAATGTGCGTATGCGTGTGTACGTAAGGTGTATTTATACGTATATGTATATGTAAATATATACCCCGTGTTTAGTGTATATATACACGTACATAAAGCGGTGCTGAAAGAAAACGGCAGATATCATATTATCATAGTGATAATTCAAAAAACCTTACTCTCTCGGTATGAGTCTTCAATCAACAATTTAAAGTTTTGAACGAATAATAGATATTTTGTTTTTAATGCATTGTAAAATTTTAGGTTTAGAGTGATAAAACAAAAACTACCATTGTTAAGACAGCCCATGCTGTCCTTATATATAAAAAAATAACAATAACATAATATATTATAGAAATGGGTATTACTAATTATTTATTTTATTAATTATCGTATGGGCGTGTTAAAACTCTGTCTTTTATTACATTAAATTAATATTATATGTCATAATATGATATTATAACAGTTACCAAAACACTTGGAGTTAAATATAATGCAATTACATTTTTGATTTATGATAATTTTTATCATTTTAATATTTAGTTTGCATAATTTTAGATGATTAGACAGTAATACATAACTCATAAGTTTTATACAATCATTCAGGAACGAAATTCTACTCGGATTTTTCATTAGAGTTAAGAACATATAATAATTTAATGGAAAGCATAATCTCTATTAAAACCATTCTAACTATAAAATTACAAAAGTATAAAAACTTACTTATTATATTATTAAAATAACTATATTAAATCACTATATGTATAGATAATATATTACTGATAATGTATAAGAATCTTACCTTGTTGAAAGTAGTTGGCTTTCCGAACATACACACACACTAGAGCCATGAGCTGCAACTGCGATAACCGTTGCCTCGTGGACGGCGGTAACGGTAATAGGTCCCGAAGATTCGCAATTTCTGCGTTGATCAGGTCCCTTCGAAGCTTGCTCGCTCCTTTGGTCGACTTGGTCGCGTCGAACCTATACATACAAATATAATAAGAATATAGATTAAATGACGATTGAGTAAAAATATAAGTTAAATATATGTTAGTATAAATTATTTTATCCTAAACTTTAGATTTTCAGTGTACTTAATACTTAAGGTAAAAACTCATAAAGTTTACACTGTAGGTTCAGCTTATTACGTGTCAAATTTATTAAATATTTAAATGGTAAAAATATGACCACAAATTCCATTGTAAACTTAGACACACACACACATATATATATATACATTCATAATATCATATACATTCAACAATCCAATTCGACCTATAGAATAATATAATTTAATATAATATAACAAGTAAAAACAACAACAACGACGACACGATTATAAGATAATAATAACATTATAACTTGTATTATAATATAATACAATAAAATAACCACGTCGTCGCAATAAGTACGCCTACGATGTGAAACGACGTCTTAATTAAATCCTCCCCCTGACGGCGGCGAGTTCGTAATCTATCGATTGATACGGTCGTTTGTGTATATATTATTTTATTATAATATCCTACAGAACGTTTATATTGAGCTTAAGCGACTTAATGTATATACACTTTATACAGTACGTACATTATATCACCTTGGGGCCGGGGCCGCTGGCCGGTATTTTGTACCAGCGCATGTGACTACGGCGACAGCGGACGTGCAGGTACATTATCCGCGCGACCCACGCGCGCTTGTTCGGTTTCAACGATATCTCTGAGATTATTATAAATATAGGCCGTTGCCGATTAATGGCATACGATAACAACGATAGATATAACACTGCTACAGGCCTCCGGCGGCGTTGCGTCTATTATGAATAAAAAAAAAAAACAACCCGTGGAAAGTTTGCGCGAATACTCAGGTAGGTAAATGTATAGTGCATGTGTTTTATTGTTATTTCCACCACGCTTCATGTATTGGTGGCGTTGGTTTTTTTATTCATGTTATTCGTCCGGCGGGTAAAAAAAAAAAAAAACACAACAATCGTCTTACACAATCGAATTTAAATATTATAATAATTTTAACTCATCGCGCGAGATTCATTATAATTTAAATTACCCCTGATGAGAGGTTGTATACAATTATAATATATTGGTATATTATATAAAATTAGTGTGTGCTGTATATATATATTTGTTCGGTCAAAAATATCACGTGATACGCACGTATATGTTTAATATAATTATATTATAATTTAATAAACTTTGCTTATTTAATCGGACCCAAGGGTCATATATTATATTATGATTTATGACTATAAAATATATTACTCATTTACACTCCACATTTCTACACTTTTCCGTCAACATTGCTAAATCCACCGGTCACGTGTTAGAGACAAGACGCATCGAGTTGTAAATATATTGTTTTAAGTAATATGCTGTGCATAAAGCTGTGGTTAAACTTTAATGAGTATACCGTGAACTTCCGTTAATAATAGTAATAATATAATTGTGATTTTTATTTGTAGTTCAATAATTACAAATTCGTTTCTATACATAAAGATCAATGCAATATTGTCAAGGTATTATACGTGTATTTATGCATAAGCTTTACTGGTAATTTTTAACATTTGGATACAGTCGACATTATCTGAATAATATGACATTAGTCATGTGTTATGATTAACTGCCAAGAGTATTATAAAATGTTGGATAATGTCTTAACAACTACATATAAAAATGTATCTCACATCAGATAAAATAATCTTAAATTATTAACGATAATAAAATACAGTTACGACATAATTAGTAATAACCAAAAAAGACATAGGTAATATTAATAATATATAATATGGTATAACTATTATTATTAAACAATACAAGTTTATTTTTAATGAGTATTATCTACTAATGATATAACATACATTAAATTGAGTATTTTATTTTATATTTCAAGTTTATGACTTGAAATATTATTCTAAATATAGAATTAAAATGTTATTTTTTATTATTACATGACATGTTTCTATAAAATTTTGAATTGCACAAAATATTATATAATTTACACTTATATGATACATTAATTGCTAGCAAAAAAATCTTCCTTTATTTAATATATTATTTTAACACCATTCAGTATTGAATGGTTAACGTTGACATGATCCGGATAATGTTGATATTCCAAATTTATGAACGAAAAATTACACATTGGCCAAAAGGCATAGTTTATGTCAAAATTATCCGAATGTTAATATTACCTGTAACGTATATATATAACCACATTATACGGCTGTATATTATGAAGCCATTGTAACATGAAATATTTTACGAGTTGCTGTTCACAACGTTGTATAAGAAATAACTAATAGCTGTGTTCAAATAAATATAATATTGCAAATAAAATTATCATATTATTTGGGATTCTCATCGGATTATAAAAAATGTAAAGAACGTTTATAAGTGATCATATATGTATGGCTTTCTTCCCAAATTGTTGTTTTTAATTTATTTCAAATATATAATATGATTAGTGAGCGCGTTTGCACATAATAATATAGTATATAACATTTCAGACATATTATATATATATATATATATATATATATATACAATATTTAGTTTCGTTACATTAGAATAAAGTGTTGTCACTTGTCAGTCCGTAAACTATATGATGAGTAGTTTAATATAGTACACGACTAGATACATATGTATAAAAAAACATTTATAAGAGAAAACGTGTTTTGAGTTTGCATATATATTGTTATATTAATATATAATAACCTACATATTATTAAATTATACGCAGAAAAATAAAAAAATATAATATAGCTAGGTAACAAATCGCAATTAAAAAAAAGATTGAAAAATCGAAAATATCGGTACCTATATTCACCAATGACAGACATGACAATGACGCGTGTTTGTATGAGTGTGTGTGTGTGTTTTTATACACTGTTTATATGTATATACACATTATACAGTCAGTTCTTATATTAAATCCGTGGGTTGTGACGACGACGGTGATAGGTCCGAGTAAAATATGTTACGCGTGTTTTTATATAAATTTTAAATTACGTGAGGACGTCAACGAGGTAGGACATCAATAGCGGCAAGCAGCAGCAGCAGCATAGACCCGTCTTATTATAAATGCTGTCGTCGTCATGTTGCGCACACTCTCACACACGCGGCAAGAGTGCGTAAGAAGCACACGTGAATCATTTTCTCAGCGTGTTATTCGTCATTGTCAATCTCGGGGCATTGTGGAAAAATGTCATCGGGGCGTGCGCGTCACGCCGCAAATTTCGCCTCGTTATAATGTTATTATTATATCACAATCTAACATTGCAGGTATAATAATATTATCATGTCCTGTCTACTTATTATATTGTTATTATGACTCATTCCTTTGTGCATGTACGACGCGATCAGATATTCGCATCACATGAACGCAAGTTTCGCACTGTGTATTCATGGTCCTCACGATTTTCGAAAAATACATTTTCGATCAACCGCTATAAATGTATTAATTGTAAGCCCATTGATATAATGCACCCACCACCTGTGGCCTGATGCGTAGCATACAGCAAAAATATTTTCGTTGCGACGACAGTGTTTGCACAATATTCGAAAAACAAATAATACACGCGTATAAGTGTGCACGTATACAACGACTCATCATGTAGATATATATACAAATTTACTTTAAAATCAACACAAGTTATATGCGGCTTACACTTGGTATTTGGTTAGGCACCTATACGCGTACATATAATATTAAATTCCGATTGCCACGCTTTAGTGCAACGGCAGCAGCAACATGTTTCCCACGGCTACTCAATCACACGCTGAATATTTGACAACTCGCGGGGTAATAATAAACATATTCTATACTGGAATTATCACGCATACATACAGATAAAACATAGAAGCTAGCTTTAGTATAGATATACGCACTAGGTACTTTGTTTGCATTTAGATGCACATATATGTATATATATATATATGGATTTATATTATAATAATGTATATGCATAATAAACGATGATGCTCGTAAATATGACGCGACTCGCCGTAGTGTTATAGGTACACTTTATATACTACGCGAGCAGTGACTATATAGCCGTGGGGCGAATAGAATAGTGGGAAATCATCGTCAGGCTACTGTGTAGTATATATAAAAATATGTTATAATGTGTTAAGTGTTGAACCGTATAAATGGTCATTTTGCCCCAATGTATATGTATATATATTTATCATAATATGTACGTTATTATTATTTCAACGTCGTTTACGTACTAACGTGTATATTATTACCTATATGAAGTTATTTTTTCCCATTTTTGGATGTGAAAAGCATCTTTTGATACCATATATATTATGTGTATATATAATAAAGTATGTAATATATAAACGTATGAGATCTACTCGTTTGGACTTATTAAGTGTATGTAAATGCATATGTAGTGTACGTAATAATCACAAAAGTAATAATAATATGGTCTGCGAAAAAAGTTTCATGCAAATTTCACGTAACTCACACACGAAGTATGCGCCATAAACGAGATTATGAATTTTGATTATGAATGCGGTACTTATTTACTGCATCAAAATAAATGCATTTTAAAGCTCTAATGTTTTTCTTCTTTTCTTTTGTGTATAATGAACCCGTTCAGAAAAACAATTGTCACATGTCCTGTATCAATGCGACCGGATCATGGTATTGGAGCATGTATTTTAACGCGGTAAAGACTTTAACGCTAGTGGTTGATATTCGTGGACTATTATATATATATAATAAATACAATGATCAACTGATCAGGTATTATTGTACACTAATCATAGACTATGAATATTATTGTAATATATATAGATAAGTTAGAATTTATAATACTGTTTAGCCTTATATTTATTAAAGGTACGTTTTGATTAATATCGAAACAAATGACGGCACCGACTCCGGGATCAAACAATATTGTGATATTATAAACCGCAAGACGAAAGACGGGAATGCGGCTGTCATCATTATCTTACGATACGTCA